GACAATCATATATTTTACATGTTTATGTCACAATCATATCCCAATCAAACTAGGAAGTAAACTATTGGTTTACTAAAAGTTCCTAAATTAACATTTCATTACTGCTTCCTAAAATTGTGCATGGCTTACTACTTAAGCATTACTTCAGGTGAGAATTTGAAATAGCCATGAGCTTGTTGCCAGCCGCTCCAATCTAATTGTGTTTTGTTTAATTGTTTAAATAAAGAATTATGTTTAGGTTAAGACCAGTCTAATTTTTTTGTATGCACCTGTTATTATAACTTTATTAATAATGTACTTTTTAAGTACTACTAAAGCTGTTAGTCTATCCTTGGTCAATGAAGGTAAATATTTTAGGTTTTTATACAACATGTTGTAAAGTATTATATGTGCATTATTTTGTGGGATAGTGAGTGCACAAAGACAGGTTAGCTGGCAAGTGTTGAGACACACAAGTATTCATCTAAGCAGGACTAAGATTTTCCACTCAGTGATTAGCATAATTTTGTTTTTATCCCTGTAACAGTTAATAATTCATAGCAATTTTTCTGAAATGGTAGTTGTGCAATATAATAGTAAGTATAATTATTGACATCATCCTATACTCCTCATTGACACAATATCCTGTCACTCTCTTGACAAAGTTCTGGAAAGTTTTTGAATTGCTCTTCAGTGATTTTTAAATCCAAAGCAGTGCATTTATGTTCACAATAGTCATAATTCTAAGTATATCTTCCTAAAAATCATAGTAAATCTCAGTCTTAGTATACTACTCCTATTTCGAAAATAGTTTTTTCTGTTTTCTTTGTAACAATTTACATGTCATATATTCATAATTTCAGTATCATATTTCATGTACTTCATGTTTTCAGATGCCAAGCCTGCTTTTCATTTCGTATTTTCTAAGCAAACACTTCAACCAAAGTCATTCCCTTCTTTAAAATGTGCAGCTTCTGGCAATCCAACCCCTCAAATAACATGGACACTAGATGGTGAATCTCTTCAAGAAAGTCAAAATCTCCGTGTGGGTGAATATATCTCACACCAAAATATAGTGGTCAGCTATGTGAATATAACATCTGTGGCAGTGCAAGATGGTGGGGAGTATGAGTGCCGAGCAACAAACTCAGTGGGCAGTGTTGCTCATGCGGCTAGAATGAATGTCTACGGCCCACCTTTCATCCGTCCAATGAGAGATGTGTCAGCTGTTGCAGGGGAGAATCTTTATCTTCGTTGTCATGCAGCTGGATATCCAATCAACTCAATTATATGGTACAAAGGTAAGATATTAAAATATTACTGTGTTCAGTTTATTGTGTAAACCCTGACCTATCTCAGTCTAGTCAATAAAACAAGATAGAAAATATTTTTTGGGCTGCTCCTAACTCAAATTACTGACTTTCTTTTATATCATTACCACCTATGGGGTCCGTAAATTACATCATGTTGAGTAATTTTATGTTTTCTTCCTGTTACAATATTTCTTGTAATGAACTGACCCAAAACATTTAATGAAATCATTCATTCATTTTGTATAGTGTAGAAATTGTTTAGAAAAATGTGTTTAAAAAGCTGGTGTTCTGTTGTAGTTAAGTAATGGCTCTTGCTTTATAAGGTTTTAGTATGTGAAATAGTTTATATAATAAAGATTAAAAGAAGTAGAAATAAGCCTTGCAAAAAAAGGAATTTGAAGACGCAGCCTCAATCAAGTTATAATAATTGTTTAATGATACTCATCCAGATTTTTCTAGTTTTTCTTTTTTTAAAGCCTCTTAAATTAGAATACTGTGTGAATGCTGTGAAGTAACAAAACTTGTAGTTATAAATTTTTTCACCTATTATTTATCCTTCAGTTAGAAAATGGAAATCACTGTATAAACTGTGTAGTAATCCTGTTTTTCCACTCCCGTGAGTAGGATCAAACCCAGAACCTCATACACGCCAGGTGACCATTCTTCAAACTGAGCTAAAAGGTTTATCCACAAGCAATTGCTAGAAAGGCACTTTTTAATGACTCAGACTACCACATCTGCAGTGCTGCTTAATAGTAGCATTGTTTTTACTATTCTTATCAGATTTGACAAATGTTAGGTCCTATTTTCACTTGTTAACATAAAGTTTTTTACGTGTTGTATAAGTTTTTAAAAAGCCTGAACTTTAAATATTTGGAATAAAACTGCTAGAACATGAAAAGAATTGGAAAATATTTATTTATAAAACTGCAAAAATGAGTAAATCGTAAATAAATAATGTTTTATTTCCACATTTTGTATACAAAAGTTGTACAGAACCTGTACATAAATTTTTAAGTCTTTTTGATATAAAGGTAAAAAATATGTCAAAGTGATATATGATTACTGTTTCATAAATGCTACTCACTTCTCTGCACCACAAAGAGTACCTCACATACTGTCGTGTAAATTTCTGTGCATGCCACTAGTCCTCAACAAAGTTCCCACCCCTACACATTTCAACATACATTGGGCCGTCCTATGATATAATCATCATTAGTCTAAACCTCTCCACCATTAGGAGGGCGACACATCCTACATGCACATTAATCCCAATGAGCATCAGCCTCTAAACATAAACTCATTCTTTACTTGGTACTGCCTTGTCTTCAGACTTGTTTTTATCATAAGACTTAGCAAAATATTTGTGTTTATTTTTTTATTGACTTTGTACTTTTGGGCTCATGTCCTGTTGTCTGTTACCATTATTTAATCCAAAATATGAGTTTTGTCCAGTACTCTTCAGGTCCGTCATCAGTCCTATGCACCATCATCATACCTGGCTCATTTTCTTTCAAACTAATAACAAACAAAAACAAAACAAGGAACTTCCATCTTCTAAGTATTTTACAAAAAGCATAACCACCAAAACATCAATTTTGTGGATTAACTTCATTATTCATTCATATTTCCATGTTTCTGACATCTTCAGAAGTTTTAACACTCCTTAACAGAAGCCATCTATTAGCACCATTGTTTGTTCCATTCTGATTTTGGATCCATGATTCTTGACTAATTGCATCTGTGTCTTTGGCTGAGCCTCCCCCACCTTGTAAATGTTTTACCACTGTTATATACACACCAACTTTTGCTTCTCTTTCCCTCTTCCTAATGTGTATCAAGTAGTCCCACTTTCATACTTCAGTGCTTTGAATACTTAGGTATAGGTCTTTTATTTTCTCATTCTCCAGTAATTTTTAACTGAATCTCGGGCTTCATTTTTGCATGAGCCTCCTTCACCTGAATTTTTTTCAGTTTAGGAATCTCCTCTTTTTTTCCTTCCTTTTTATTTCTCTCCATCTACTTGCTTTCATCTCTTACTTAAATTATTTGTTCATTCTTATGCATCACCTTCTGTTGAAGGATTCCCATCACAACCCTATCTACTTTAATGGAGCAACTTGCACAAACCTATTTTCCACCTTGCTCTTAATATCCTTTCATTTTGTCCTAGTTACCTTGATTTCTTTATTTGTGAGATTTACTTTGTTAGGTTGCCTTACTTTCTGACTTTCACTATTTTCAATCTATTCTCCAAGACCTCTCATTCACTTTTTCTTTTTTATATGGTATTTTGGTGGTATATCTTTTACCATGGCATCTTAAACTGATCTAGCTCTAGCAGTAATCTTTTCTCACCTTGGTTTTGGATCCAGGGGGCCCCAACTGGTTGCTTATCACATATATCCATGTGGGATTATTCCTCTTCTGTTCCTTGTTACTACTCATGGTCTTTCCTCCTTGGTAGCTGGCCATTACAGGTTTTGGAGGCAATTCTTTTCTGGAGCCACCCTTTGCCTCTGATCCTGTAGGAGACCTGTTTCCCATTTTATACACCAATGGCCTCCCTTTGTTACAACCTATTTAGTTCTTCAGGTGCCTTCCCAATAGTTTTTCCTGTACTTCTGCTCTTCATCTTCCCTGTTCCAACCACCATGGAAAATTCCACAATCCCACTCTGGGGTTTCACACCTTTTTATCATTCTCATGAAGATGGGAGATTGTTAACCAGATATCTTCTGTCCCACTTGACTCACCTTTGGTCTTTTCACATTTCCCAGTGGGCAGTTTTCTTACTCTCTCTAGTGAATACTCTCTCAGGTGGTGGATGACCAGATTCTGGGTTTGAAACTTTTTACACATCCTATTTTATCTGCCTGCCCTTGCTTACTTCAGTTTGTCCACTATGGTTGAACATTTGGGAATGCCCTTTGAATCAGCTATTCCCCATTCTATTTTCATTGGGTTCAGTGGGCATTTACTTGGGGTTACATTCTTGAGGCCTATTGTTCCACTACTCTGTAGACATGTCACCTGTACTTGCCCATTCAAATGAGTCTTCTTCTGCTGTGACCTCCTATTGGAAATGGGAGTTATCTCATTTAGTTCCTCTGTCCACTTCAGTCTCAATCCCCACTTTATATCTCATTCATTTGGGGGTCTCTCTTACTTTGTATGCAATGTAGGTTCAGCTTAATTCCTTTTATTTGGGACATAGAGCTTTTTATGCCAGGGTTCTCATGTCTCCTTCATTTCCTACATGAGAGGATTTATATTTTTTATGGACTCTTTCCTATTGAGTTCCTTTTTCCTCTTGTATGTGTCATATGTGTCTCTTTCAGTGGTTTCTTGCCTATTAAAGTGGGTTTCTCCAGAGATGCACTGTATTCTTTTCACCTCTCACCCAGTCCCACACGTCCAACTTCCTCAACCACACACAAGGTTGCATTTACTTGGAGCCCTCCAGGGCTCAGAACTAAGTCTGTGGGTTCCCATATCTGTGGTGAGTGTAGCAAAGGTGGCATGTTGTATTGGCTTTGTGCTTGATGATAAACAATCTTTCAGTCACAGCTTTCCACCTTAATCCTGGTGGAGTGCACTTCTGGATGCCTGATCCATTTACTGTATTTGTTCTCCAGGGGTGGTGGTTCTCTGTCTCTGTGTTCTCAAGATAGTTGCTGCTCTGCAGGCTTGTCATCATTTTCTGTCTCATGTTCCTGTTTTTATCATAATTCATTCAAATGCTTCCTCTGTTGTTTGTTTCATCCCCTGACAGGGAAGCACCCACTCCTGAATTTTCTAGCATTTCTAAAACTTTGGCTCTGTGTCTGTTGTGGTTCAATCTCTTTATTTATATGCTTCAGACATACCTCTTTCCTTTCTAACATCACTCACTTTTGTCTTGGTCTCCTTCCATATCATTTAACACATGGACAGGTTAATCTTCTTCCTAACTTCCAAAAAATTTGGGTGGCTTGGGAGAGTGTTTGTATGTTTTCCCTATTCCCCTGTGTGCCTTGTGTGGTCATTCCAACCCAGCTCATCTCCTTTGCAAAGTCACTGTGAAGTGTGGAGAATGGTGACTGGTAAGGGTGAGTGAAACCTCTATATGGTGTAAGTAATGGGACACTAATGTATTGGGTGTCATTCACATCCCTGTCTGCAAGATCTCATAAAGGGGATGTCAATAGCTAGAGGCAATAAAAGCCTTGAGACAAGACAAATATGATGAGAGAAGAAAAATAAGAAAAGGACCATCACACACTGAAGAAAAACTAGCCAGATTAAGTGTATAACAGAACTGAGTAAAGTGGAAGGAGATAAGTTACTAGAGGAAGAGGAATCCCATGGCAATAAAAGACATTGGAAAGTGCTCTAAAAAGGGAGCAATACAAAATAATAATAACTAGACCATACAGAAATGGTGAATTGTTGATTTTTCTTCTGTGCTTTTCAGGTCTCACAACCACTTTATTCAAAATATGTATTATACATTATGGAGACAGTGGAACCTACTATGTGACTAGTGTTCACCTCTCTGTTAATTAAGATAAGTTTTTTCCACAAGACTACATCAGCAATGTAAGTGTATTATGTCTTCTAGGCATTCTTCACTTGTGAAAAAAAAACAACCGACAGCACCAGGTGTGTGCTTCCCATCACACCCCACTTGCACGTGCTGTCTTTAGTCACAGTAACCCATTGCACTGTCTGTCAGTGTGGGACTTTATACAGATGGTTGTGCCTGATGATATGGTCTAAGCACCACTCCAGTATTCTTTTTTCCCCCATACAAATTTTTCTTCACCATTCCTTCAATATGGAGTGTTCTTCATTGGGTAGTGCAATCCCACTGTTATGAGACCATGTGGATATACCTCTCATTTGGGAAGTAGGGCTGGGATGTTAGCTGGTATAGTAGTACAAGACACCCCACTATGTTATGAACCAAGATATTCCTATTGGTTCATTCCAGTTGGATGATTGTTGAGTTTGTCTTAGGACACAGGTCTGGGATACTACTCCTTACACCTGATTTTTGAGGTGAGTATCTCACATAAACATTTCTCCAATATGGATCAGGCTGACTTATAGTCCTAGCCACACTACACACTCATACTCAGTTGACTGCCTGTGTTGTAATGATTGGTTGAGCAATCTGACACTCTGCCCACCCTTGCAACATATTAGCACACACCCTGCAAACAATCCTTTTGACTGTATCTTATGCTATACCAGTTTTACTAGGCTTCAGATAGATGTGGTCTCCCATCAAGTACTATCCCAGTGGCTATCCTTTGCATCATGGATGTCAAACTCCATGGACTTTCCTTTTCTGATACTATTTCCAAAACTCCTTTTTTGTAATTTTTATCTCTGCACCATCTTCAGTGTGGATTTTGGCTATTTGTGATACAGAGAGGTGAGTAGCATTTCTGAAGTTAACATTTTCCTTACCTGAAAATATATTTCAGATAGATACTCACCCCTCTTCACCACCTTCTGTTATTTCTCCCCACTTCAAAGTGCATTTAGTTTACCTCATCAAGAAGGAGCTTATGTTTGGTGCTCATGGGGATTCATTTGCATGGATGATGTGTCACCCTGCTATTGGTGGAGGGCTATAGTCTGATGATGATTACATCCTAGGCTAGTGCAATACATGTTGACATATGTAGGGTTGAGAGCTTTGTTCAAGGCTTGTGGCATGCACAGGAATTTGCACGGCAGTACACACTAGTTAATAGTTGTGGTACTGAGAGATAAGCATCTATCAGAATTACATTTTCAAGTAAGGAAAATGTTAACTTTAATTGCTAATGTACTGATGCAAGTATAAGCCTGATATTGCACACTGCTAGTGTTAGATTGTTACAAACAAGGAACTCCTTGTGAAAATGCCAGTGTTAGATTGTTACAAACAAGGACCTTCTTGTGAAACTGACAGTGTTGGATTGTTACAAAAAAATAACTTATGTGAAATTGGTAGTGTTAGATTGTTACTTATAATGAACTCTTTGTGAAAATACCATTGTTAGATTGTGACATACAAGGAACTCTTTGTGAAAATGCCAGTCTTAGATTGTGACATACAAGGACCTTCTTGTGGAACTACTGATGAATCATTACTACTTTTTATCTTGCTGTATGCATAAATACAAATATTACTATGAAAATAAATTTCTTACATAATTTTGAATAACAGGTCTCTGTACAAACAGAATATGAAAAACTACTACATTATTTTGCTTGCTTGATAGACACAGAGTGTTGGACTGAGAATTTAAGTGTCCATGGTTTAATTTCTGTTACAACAAAATTGTACATTTTTGGGGCCATGGGTGTGTTAAGAAAGTGATATATAGTCAAATCCCAGTACCAGTATTTGATTATAGTAGCCCAATAGATGGCAGTGGATGACTTGACTAGATGATATCCCTCTAGTCTATTGTTTCAAAATTAAAGACAACTATTGCAGATACTTGTGTAGCTTTTCTTGAATATCCAGAATAATGCTCAAAAGATTATTAAACAGGGACTTTGTAATTTTCTCTACTAACATTACTATATTTATAATAATGTTTCTTGATATTATCTTTATATGGTTTTTCATAACCTGCTATAGTAGTTATTATACATGAATGCTTGACTGCAAGATATTTAGGTTGTGTGTTCAGTTTGACAAAGTTTGTGATCCTAGTAATATCTTTTATATTCCAAATTATATCAGTTGAATAATTTAGATCTTACTTTGCACAAGAGTAAGATCTTTTGGTCTAAAAATAGTTGGTACAATGTTTCACCTTTCTTAATTTTACAAATATTTTTTGATCAGTTTATTTTAGTTTTAATGTAATATTGGAAAATTTCAGTTTTGTTTTTTGTAATGCAACCAAATGTTGACTTATTTTAGTCAGTTTTTACATAATGAAACCATTTATTCAAAATTGTGTGTAAGTATAGAATTTCATACATTGTAGGGCATATACAACTGCCTGTTAATCTTCGCCAAGAAGTGTTTAGTAATGGGACCTTGATGATCTATGATGTTAGCCGAGAGAAGGATGATGGTGTATATACTTGTCGTGTAACAAATGACCAGGGTCAGAGTGATAATGGAACTGTCCGAGTTAATGTTATGGGTTTGTACATTATCACTGTATATTTTGTTTTACAGTTATGTCTTTAGCCTAAAATCCTGCTTTGTTTTGTCACTAGTGTTAAACATTATATATATATAATTCTATAGGTTTAAGAATAATCTTATTAGAGCTAGATGTGTTTAATTTTTATGGCATATGGACAAAGTCTTAAATCTGATCTTAACCTTTAGAGTTTAGAACTTGTCAGCATATGTGAGTCTGGTATTATCTTCCTCAAAAATACCTCTACCTTACTTAACCTACATGTTCTCGTGAAAATCATGTTTGGTATAAACTGGATTATTGACTCAACACTTTCTGGATGCAGACATTATGCACAATGTTGAAATAAGTCAAATTACAAATACTTTTGAAGTGCTGCTCAAGATCTATAAATATATACATCATCATACTTTATAATAAAAGATGATAATAAACAGAGTTTTGTGTTAGTGAGAAAATGAATTGTGTGCTGACTGTGATTAAAGTTAAGAAGAAAACTAATCACATAACCTCAGTTATTTTAATTTTACAAATAATAAACCATAAGTGTTTTTATCCATTCTGAGATATTTAATTCATTTGTAATCAAGAACACCATATAAAGATAATACCAAAAATAATTATACATTTCTTAATGATAAACAGATGTAATGTTTGTGATGTTTATAAGTTCAGATCACTAAGTTACCATATTTTTGTATTCCAGTTCGCCCTGTGATTTACCCCTTTTCCTTTCCGAAAAGCATTCAGGTAGGTATGAGAGCAAGACTTGTGTGCACAGTGATTAAAGGGGATCCACCATTTACTATTCGATGGTATAAGGACGGACATCCAATGCCACAGGAATTGAATGAAAAACGACATAATGACGTTTTTTCGAGTGATTTAACTTTTGCTAACATTCAAACTCAACACAATGGAAACTATACTTGTACAGTCAGCAACACAGCATCCTCAGCCAGTCACAGTGCAGTGTTAATAGTCAAGGGTGAGTTTACCATGGGTTTGAGAATGCCAAACCTGTTTGACTGAAATTAATGTGCAAATTGTTAAATATTCCTTTTGAAAGAAATTAAACATATTTTCCCTTATATGCAAAGACCTTAGAATTTAAATTCTACTACATAAAAATTGGTTAGATATCTTAACAAATGTATTTAATTTACCTGCATGTATTTAAAACTATTCACCTATTTTAGTCTAATACTAAAACTTGCTTCTAAAAACAGTCTAATATGTATTCAACTCATTGATATAGTGTATAGGTGTGGGGAATAAGTTAGCTCATTGGATCGATAAATGGCTGGAGGGAAGAAATCAGAGTTGTTTTTTTATAACTGTAGTTCAGTCAAACTGGATTAATGTCACAAGTTGGGTACCTCAAGTCTCAGCATTGATTTAAATCAATAATGTAGATAAAGAAAAGGTTGATAGACTACATACATTTGCTGATGATGTTAAAGGCTAGGGTGTTGCTGTCTGTAAGAAGGATGCTATAAATATACATTTTGGCAGGGCAGAACTCTGTATCAGCCAAGACAGTTTTATTTTTCCAACATTATAGTTGGCCAAAATCATAAATAATATTCAACGTTAAACTGGTACACAATTAAAAACATTTTATTTAGGCCTATCTATGGCCTTCAAAAAGTTGACAACTCTACATGTTTGATGTTACAACATCATCCTCAGGATGAATATTATTTATAATTTTAACTTTATACACAAGTGCCAAAATACTATAATTATAGTTGGCCTTTTGAATGGGTTACCTTCATATGTGGTGGATAAAGTAACTGTAAGGGAGATTAAGGGAAAACTTGATAAATATTTAAATGAACAGGTCTGGATTTGAGTGATTTTTTTAATTTGGATGAGACAGTCTCAATTAGCCAATAAACCCCTTGTTGTCCTTTAATTATTATGTTAATGATTTGATTTAGAAAAACATTATTAGTAGGCTAATATAACTTGTTACAGTTCATATGTGTGTATTGATGGTATATGCAGTAACGTAAAAAATAAGACAGTAGAGCAAACAGTTTTGTCCCAAAATGTCAGTATACACATTTATATAATTCAAATTTAAAAAGGATTAAGATATTTTTGCTACAATGAATTACATAGGTTGTGCATTTCTAAAAACACAAGCTTGAAATTTTATGATTATTTTTTATTCCTAGATCTGTTTTCATCTGTTGAATAAGATTTAATGTCAACTAAATAGTTTTCATAAAGTTACACACAGAATGCATTAGGCAATACACTTTACACAATACAGGTTTCAATACACTAGTGGACACAGCATAGATAGCCCATTGTTTAGCTTTGTGCTTAATTACAAACAAACAAAAAAATCAGCTCAGATTATCTTTAAAAGGCGTATTTTGAATGTTGAGGTTTATAGTTGTATGTCCAAGAAGTGATTCAGTTTTGTTAATATCATTTGTCACAGTAACATGCAAACATTAAGTTAGCTGTGGTCAACAAGTGAATACCAAGGCCAAGCAGGGTTCCCTGATTAACTTGCCAGATTCTAGACCTGAGGTTTTGTGGTTCACATACTGTTATCTCTCAAAAAAAAAAATTGTGTTCTGCACTTTGTGGCTATGGGTGGGTGAATTATAATAGTGATTGACTTATCCATTCCACTATTTGATTTTTCAAGAGTAACTCAAGAGATGGGCAGTGGGTGGTGTTGATTAGCTATCTCTCCTCTAGTCTGTCACTTCAAAATAAAGGACAGTTAGCTCATTTAGTCCTCAAATAGATTTGGGTGATATCCAACAAAGATAAATAAAATTTAATTACCAGCTATTTATTTTGTTGGATTTTTCATGAAAATTACATTCATTCATAAGAGGCTGGACAACATATTCTGTGATTTTAATCTAGAATGATTTTCGCTCATAGAAATCTAGTGAGTGTTTATGTAGCAGTGAATTCCACATTACTTAAAGTATTAACTTAGTTAAATAATTATATAAAAATTTAATATATCACATATGAATACTTTCTATTTCCATGTAAGACATTTGTTTACTTAATACATGCATGTATGCAGGTGGGTTCAGCCTAACCCCCTAATTTTGTGATGTAAAAATATTTATGCTTATATAGTTATAACGCAGCTGCTCAAACTTTTAACGTTTTCTACATAGTCTGTATTCTTCTCATGAAATATTAGTAGTTCAAAACTACGGTTACCTTCTTTCACACTTTAGCATTATCCTGATGAAAGATTCTCTTTTTTGCCTATCTATTTGATGGTATAATTCTAACAAACAAACAAATTCGTGGCAGGAATTTAGGTTGATTAATCTTTCAAGCTTCAAAGAAAATTTTGGGGCCTGAAAGACAACTTGGGGTGGTTGGAAACTTTTGTTTCTCTTCAGCCTGTGCAATTAAAAAATTTGAAGCCAAACGAATTTTGATTGAGCCACTGGGCTTAAAATTATTAAAACATGTGGGGGGAGAAGTTGTAGGATGAGAAGAGGCACCGAAGATGTTGATCCAAGCAAGCCGTGAAGAGACCATCGTTCGGTATTTGGAGTTGAAGCACGTGTGTCTCTTGATACATGTGACGATGAGCAGTGTCAGATGGAGAAGGGAGAAACAGACCAAGTACGTAGATTTCAGCTTTGAATAGTTGCCCAAAGGATGTTATGTGATTGAAAGAAGAGAAAATTTTATAAAATTAAAATGGTAAAACTGAGTCATGTGGACTTAAGAGAGTAATGGCCCTTTACAGGGCGGCTGGGATAAAATTATCCAATGTCCTTCTTAATTTGGTTGTAGGGGAAATCTGGAGTTACCTGGAGAAAACCTGCTTTCACAGGCCAGGAGCCAAATAATCTACCTGACCCATGCCCGAGATGTGGAACTGAAAAGGGAATGATTAATTAATACATGTATATGGTTAAACACTATTTATATAGTTAAGAGGAAAGATGTACCTTTGCCACATGGAAAGTGTGGCAGTGAGGTTGGGGAAGGTACTTGTTTGGCTGTTTCTTTTTTGGGCTTTGTTGTAGAATTTTTCAGCTAACACATAAATGCAATTCTTAATGAGAGGTAGGTCAGTAAAATTGTTGAAATGTTGACATTTGTTTGTGGGAGATGGAAAGCTGTTTTGATGGCAGTGAGCTGTTGCTGTTTGATATTTTTGCACAATGTTTTGGGCATATTACAAGTAATGGGGCATCCATACGCATATAGAGGTTTGATGTAGGCTTTGTAGATTTTAATGATTGAGTGGTTATTACAGCCTTTGTTCAGCGGAGGAATTCCAGTATAGTGCTTGTTTTTTGTTTTTTTCAGGATGTTATTGTAGTGAGCTTAGCGTGATTTCTAAAACTTTTGCAGTTGTTTTAAAAGTGATAGGGGTATTGAAAATATGTAAGTTTGTCTGAGGTTTTTGTTTTGTCTACTTCTGTGAGACACTGATTGTTCTCTTCAGGGCTGGGGTGCTTGTATAGACAATTTGGAATTCAAGGAACTTTGGACTGTATAGGAAACCTCTATCCACATCAATCTCTTAGATATTTTAACAGTTCAATGAGCTATGACTCAGAGTATCAAATTGTTGTGAGGAAAGGTGACAATGCTTAATTCAGACAATTCCACAGTAATCTCATACTTTTCAAAGCAAGGGGGCACTCACTCTGAATCTCATTGTTTTCGAACAGTGGATCTTCTCCTTTGGGCACACAAACATCAGATTATTCACCTTACTTGTCATCTTCCAGGGGTAATGAATCTAGTGACTGACCAGTTATGTCATCCCAACATAGCTCTTCCTATGGAATGGATACTTCTTACTCAAGTTTTTCATTGGATCTACTCTTGTCTTGGGACACCACAGATCAAGGCTTTCACCACACATTGGAATGCTCAGCACCCATCTTTCTGGTCTTCAGTACCTGACCCTTTGACTTTGGGAGTAGAAGCTCTCAGCCAGGTTTGGACAGGTCTACATCTTTATGTGTTCTCTCTGACATGTCTACTCTCTACAGTTCTGGCACTGATTTGCTCCATGTCCTGTTGAGTTGTTTTGGTGGCACCATATCTGCTGGGTTTAGCCTTGGTTTCCACTCCTCTTCAACCTCTTCCCAATCCTCCCTGTCTTTCTCTTTATTTCAGCCTCAGTAAGACATTTTCATCCAACTGTCAGCATTATTCGACCTCACACCTGGCTTTTATGCAGTCCATCACAAAACATCAAGGATTGACAACTCGAGTGGTGCCCTTATTAATACATTCCATTTCACATTCTTCTTTGGAAGCTTATCAAAGGAAATAGTTTGCTTATCATCAGTAGTCTCTCAGACATGAACCCTTAATTTCATGTCTCAATTTTCGTTTTTCTATATGAAGAAAAGCTTTTGAGTCCCTGGTTTTGTCATAATTTTTCAAATCAGTTCAGGTTATATGTCCTCATCATCCTTTCTAGGTTCCTAACTGGGTTATCACAGTGGTTTTCCATGTATTATCATGTCCACCTTTGGAACCTTTTGGTTAATGTTCACTATATTATTTTTCACTGAAAACATGTTTTCTTCTGTTATTGGCTAGGGGGTCAAAGTTCAGTTGTGTTTGCACTTCATGTTCACAGGATATGGTACCATTCCAACTATGTTCTGTTGTACCCAGACAAGGTCCTTTCTACCTAAAATTGCAACATCTAGGAAAGGAGTTAAGACTCTCTCTCTCCTATTCATCTTCCCTTTATTTCCCATTTATATGACCTTTTAGATCTGGATCATCTTTATGCTGCCCCGCTCCAGCTCTCCGGTGTTATGTAATGTGCTCTGAAGCATTTCAGAGATCACATAACAGGTACTTTATCCATTAATGTGCTTCAGTTTCTCACAACTTATTCCCTGTCACTTTGATAAGTTGGATTCATCAATTGGTTCGAATAACTTACTCTAGTCTTTCATTGGAAGAGCGGAGACTTCTTTGGATCTCATAGAGTTTGACATATATCAATGTCCCTGGCAGCTTGGTTGCATCACCTGCTGGAGGAAACTGTACATGCTGGTATGTGGACCACACCTAACACCTTTATATCACACTTTTTATATGATATAGACTATCTCTGTGACAGAGGTGAGTAACTTTCATTTTCAGAGACCTTCTCATCATTTGCATTAGGATCCCACTCAGTGATGAGTGTTGCCTGGTCAGGTATGCTTTTACAAATCCACACTAGAACCAGTAGACTAATAACTAAATTCCTGGTAATAACAAGCTTTATTGAGATGGAGAATTCCATGAGACTGCTTTGGCACTTTCTGGGTGGTGAACAGTTGTTCTATATCGAATATTACATACAATACTGGACCACTATTCTTGGACTATCATGAGCAAAGCATAAGGGAACTTTGCCTATCCCTGCTAACTCCTGGATTGAATAAAGTAGGGATGGTTTGCTTTACAAAATAGGGAATGTGGTTCATCTATTGCACTGTCTCTGGATCATCATTCCTCAGGACTCCCCAATGCAAGTTCCCCCATCTCTTGTAGTAGAGCAAGGGAGTCCTTACTACTCTCAGGTTCCAGTCACTGGAGTGGTGGACAGAGGTCTGTTCCTCTTGAGTGATGTTTGTACTCTATATTTCACTCAAGGAGAAGAGGGCAAAGCTGGTTACCCTCCCACCCTTAACCCTGGATGGTTTTTCCTAGATGTTCCACTTCTTAGAACTCTCAACTACAGGCATTTTGGTCACAAGTACCACATCCTCAGGCATTGGTGATAAATACATTCAGTCAGTACTGGACAGGATTGCATCTCTATGCTTTCCCACCAATTCATCTGTTACCCAGAGTTCTGACTATGGTTCAATTCACATCTTGTCAGGTACTGTTGGTAGCCCTAGATTGGGTGGCTCAACTATGGTTTCCTCTTATTAACTATCTTCCAGAGTGCCCACCTCTGCCACTTCCTCTTTGGCCATCTTTGTTGAGGCAACCATGATCTGACATTATACATCCAGACATTCTGAAGCTCAAGCTTCATGCATGTAAGTTATGTAGTCCTTCACACACCATCAGGGTTTAACTTCTAAAGTTGCCATGTATTTGTCTCAATCTCTTCATAGATCCACAATGGATATTTATCAAAGGAAATGGCATGCTTCTCGACAATGGAGTCTCATGAGGAAATTGAACCCACTTTGCCCAAATGGGCTAACCATAGCTCTTTTTTTTTTACCTGGCTTTTTGACAAGGGTTTAACACCATCTACAATCGTCATACATAAGGCAGCTTTATTAACTACATTTTGATACTCAAAAAGTCAGAAATTATTTGAGTCTCCAGTGCTATCTGGCCTTCTCAAGTTTTTTCGAGTCTTTCATCCCAAAAGGCCATTTTAGTTACCTAACTGGGATATAAAGGTGGTATTGCGTGCCTTGTCTCGACCTCAATTCGAGCCATTAGCCTCATGTACCATATATCACCTTTCCATTAAAGTTTATTTTTTGTTGTTGCTGGCCTGTGGAACATCATCAGTCAGAGTTATTTGCACTGCATGTGTACAGGACTCTTTATCTCTACTTACATTCTTCTGTACCCAGATATGTCTTTCCTACTTAAGGCTAAATCCTTTCGAGGTGATAGACATTAACTTTATATTCATTGAGATCCTTCAGCTTTCCATGATTTATCAACAATTATCTTGATGAGTGGGTTCGAAAATTGATCAATATTGCTTATTTTGAGCTCTTTTTGCAGGTGATGAAACTTCTGCAAGTCACCTCTCATCAGTATTGTCACATTTCTATGACTTTAGCTGCCCAATTAATTTCCCACTGGAGGACATTGTATGGGCTGGCATGTGAACTTCTCCCAATACTTTTATTTGCATGATCTGGCAGTTTCTTCCTCTAAGGGTTTTAGACTACTTCCTTTGGCAGTTTTGACCACAACAGCGAGATTATACAGAAAGTAATTATTTTACTCCTCTTGACTCTTTACTTTAGAGGGTCCCTTACCTCATTTTTTCACTGGATCCCACCCTGTGGTGAGTGTTGCCCAAGCAGCTGTGCTTTTATCAAACCAATTCCACACAAGCAACCACTAATTCCATATACTTTATATAAGTTGCAACAGGCTCTGTAGAAATGAGGTGTTTTATAAGACCACCTGGAGGCTGACTGAGTGGTATTACTGTTCTATGCTGGACTGTCATGAATATAGCATAATATCCTGCCCATCTGTGTTGATCTTTGGATTAAATAAATTGGGGTCAATTTGGTTTTAAAAATCTAAGGAACTTGGTTCACCTATTGCACGGATCCCCAGAACTTCTAAATGTGTATTACCCCCCAGATTCTACTAGTGGATCTTAGAAGTCTTTACCACACCCAGTTTCCAGTCACCAGGGTGGTGGACAAAGGCTTTTCCTGCAGAGCACTAGAGTGAATTCCTCCACTCTTAAAGAAGAACAAGGTTGGGGCCCTCCTACCCAGGTCCCTGGATGTTTTTTCCCAGATGTCAGTAGGAGTGGCACCATCCTACATGGGATTCTACTTGTAAAAGCAGTTCAGATTTGATACTCAGCTATCTGGTTGGGGTATGCATGACCCTTCTTTTTGATCAATATTTGTTCATTACATTGTTCATGTCTCATAATGCCAAACACGGAGTGATCCCATCCTGGGTTCTTGGTTGAGCACAGTTGTATCACATCCTCCCCATAATTCTGGAGGCAAGTGAGATGTACCTTGCTCACATGGTTGGGGAGTGAGGATGAGTGTTCATAATTCCAGACCAAATGAGTTATGTTTCCTTTGGTTGAGTAAGGTATACATGATTCCATCATTACAAGCCTAGGGTGTTGCCTTTTGGAATTCTTCAGGTTGAGGAGAAGGTTTGTCCACTTCAGTGTTGCTTACTTTCTTGTTTTCATTCTGGTGGCTCAGGATGCATCGCTCTATGGCTACAGGTTGGGATACACTCATAAGTATATATATATATATAATGTTTGTGTTCCAATTGTCCATGACCCCTTAATTCCAACCCTGAGTAGTGGAATTTCAGCTACCTGGTTGAGGCATGGCCTGTAGTGATGATAACTCATGTAAAATTCCACCCACGATACAGGAATTAAGTTCCAGATGAAAAGAATACCAGTTCTGGATGTAGTGCTGTTCCCCTACTAAAGTATCAATCTTTTATTGACACACCCATGATCTATGCAGATTCTTTCTGTGTGGATAATGCCCTCACCAGCCCCTCCACCTTATCAATGTGGGATTCTAGCTATAAGTGGGAGAGGAGGTAAGTATGCTTTGGAAGTTAACATTTTCCTAAATTGAAAATGTATTTCCAATAATATGTACCTCCTCTCCCACCCTTCTTGCCCACTAAAAGCTGGTGTTAAAGACTGGGATTGAGTCAGTCTCTAAAAAAGTGATAACATTATCTGAATGAGGTACTTATATACAGTACTAGGATAGAGGGTGCATTGACAAGGTGGAGAGTTTCACAAGATAAATACTGCCAAGGGCAATTGACTGGGGTATAAAAGACTTGAGCAAACGAGAAAAAAATCAGACCAATGCTGAGATGGGCAAAGGAAGAAACCCTAGCAGTCAAGTAATAGCTATAAGTGTGAGAGCAGGTAATTATTATTGGAAATACATTTTCAATTGAGGAAAATGTTAATTTTTTTTACTAGCACTTTTTTTTATAACAGTATTGTTTGCATTTGTTTTTGCTTTCATGACACTATATTACTAAACATATTTTCCTTTGTTTATTTGCAGTACCACTAAAGTGGGAAGTAGAACCAAGAGATGCCTCAGTTGTGGTAGGCCAAAACATCAGGATAGATTGTCTTGCAAGTGGCTTTCCTTCACCAGTAATAACATGGGAGCGGAGAAATGGTAATAGCTGTGTCTGACAGTATACACGTTTTATTAAAAAACAACAACTTAGATTTAAGTTGGACAACGTATATAATACAAAAGCCACTTTGTTTAACTTCTGTGGAGGGTTAATCACACCATTGCAGATGCAAGTCAGTATGCTATGTGTGACATGTTTAGAACATGATATTTGATTCATGGGAAAATTATGAACAATTCAAATGTAATGTCACTGCATGCAGGTTTATGGCTGGAGGAAATGTATTAGCATAGAAAGATTATGAAACAATGCCAAATGACCAAATATTTCAAAGAAAGGAGCCTTCAGTGTTCTCCATGTAAGTGAACAAAACTTGCACAGAAGAGCATTTAAGGCAACAAGAAACACATCATAAGCTAATCCAGAGCAATGTTTTAATCTGCAAGGTGAAGGTTATGTGTATAAAAGAGAACCCTTTGACCACAAATGCCTTTACAGTGAATCTTGACATATTTTCTGATACCATTAAAAAACAAAAAAACAAATATTTGGAGTTAATAAAAGCCAACAAGCAAAAGTTTAAAATTTTCTAGCTATATCTCAAAATCACTGACTGCTTTCATAAGAGAGACAGCCCAAAAAATTTAAATTACAGCAATCTCATTTGACTACTCACATGTAAATGCTCCCAATGCATAAATGTGATCTAGGTGACACATTTTCTCTTAGCATGTTATCATCCCTATTTTATCTGCCCCCCACTCGAAAAAGTACGAAATTAAATGTAAAGTACTCTCTATAAAATCGTCATTGCTCAGACAAACCATAATTTTTATAGTCTTCAATTTTGTTTGGTTAGAGAGCTATTGGATAGAAAATCAGACCCTTCCTGCCACACTTTTTTGTCACATCCTTTCTTTCAGAATTCGTTAATAGTTCTCTCTTATGTTTAATTATATATTACCTATAACCAATAGAAAATCAAGGTTTTCAACTATCAAATGACGTATTGTATAATATTATGTTCTGAATGGTTAAATGTCAATTTCATTCAGAGTATGAACATTGTTCCAGTGAGAAAGTTAAAGACTAGATTGGATGAATTTGTAATGACTCTTGTTGCATAGTTATAAAAATTGTTAAGTGCATTACAATCATTAGTATAAAAAAATTTGGGTTAACTCTCTTGGACAATCAACAGCAAGAAAAAAGAATATTGGTTAAATATTTTATTTCTTGTTTTTCATGTTTATTATTTATATCTAATTATAAAAATAATTAAAATGTAAAAATAGGTATCCTTTTAGGTTAGTTAAGATTAGATTAGGTAAAATAAATAATAATAATATTATAATGAAAAATGTTTCACAAGGCGGCTCCTACTAGCTTGTAGGTAATGTAATTCAATAGGGTAATGTAAGCTGCGCGTTTCCCGAATGATTTACAACTTATAATGGCACCCATAGTAGTTAGACACAGTTCAATAAAATTTAATTATAAATAAATGTATCCTGTTACGAACTTAGAGCTAAGGATAAACAAATGTAGTTTCATGTTACAATTTGAAGTAATTCTTGAAAGAAAAAAGGGTAATTTAGATTTATTTCGATTTTTTCTTTTTTTTGTGTGTGTGGTTACGAGGTCAAGGTTGGTTGAATTGACCGATTCTGTCTTAAGATATGGTAGAGAAAATAACAGATAAATTTTAAAGTTTTACTGAAAAAAAACGTTTGAAATGCATTTAGGAGGCTTTAGGGATTACACAAAGGAAATTTGAGTTTTTTGAGATGAGGAAAAGTATTTTTAATTTTAACATGATAATTACTTTGCACACGTACTATTCAAAACAAATACTCAATATATTCATGAACAATTTTTTATTTTATTAAAAATACTTCACTAAAAATATGTTTCTCTGTATGTGAAAGACTTATAATATTAACTGAAAGACTGCCAAATTTTGTGAAGATGTACACACTATATTGAAAGTTAGAAATGTTAAATCTATAAAAACTTTAAGTTAGTATAAAGAGGTCACGTGGTTGGTCAAATTGACTGAGCCCATATTGAGAGAGTTAATAGTACTCCACAAATAAACCTTGATAAAAACAGTGTTTAACACTATACATTAAGTTTTGTTGTCATGCCACGGCCCAAAAAGCATAGAGAATTCTCAGTAGAGCAAAGACTTCACATAAAAGCTTTACGTGATGCTGGTTAGACTCTCTGATAAATTGATGCAGACCTGAAATGCTCCCCAAACACTGTCAAGTACACCCTAGATTGTGAGACCCAGACAGGTAAATTTGAAAATAGGAAAGGAAGAGGCAAAATATCTAAACCCAACGATCCTGATGTTAAGTATCTTCATTTCTGCAGCCTTTGGGACAGAAAAAAGACTGCCACTGA